GGAAATGGAAAAATTCCTTTCCTGTCCTTATCTATTATTCATACCAGATTTTGCTTTTCATCTTTTTTTTCCTGTTGGATGTAGTGAAACACGGCTTAGGTTTCACTTATTGGCTTATTTCATTTTAAAGGTCATAAAAAGTCTGTACCCTGAAAGACACTCTAATTTCTTTGCCTGACAATGAAGGGTATTTTTTTTTTAAAAAGTTGCAACTCTATAAAATGGCATGTTTATTTTATTTTTTTTAAAAAAATAGAGTTACATAACTCATGAATAGTGAAATAATGTTTAAAATTTCAATTTCATTTTAATTTCATTCCCTTGCAATTCTATATCCTACATTCATAATATGTTCCATTACATACTCCTCATTGCTTATAAAGATTATACCAATCATTGTATACACCATCTTCACTGAATGGATATAATTTTATCTCACAAATAAGGCTTTTACTACAAAATATAAAACTGATTCAAATATAAACTGTCTTGTTTACTACGTTTGAAAAGAATTTTTAAAAATATTCTTACATAATGAGCATCAGTTAACAATGGCAAATTTGGCTTCAGTTCAAATATCTCTTGCCCTCTTAACTAAGGTCAGTGCTGATACAGTACAGATATATCTTACACAATGTAGTTCGCATGAGTTGTTCTTAAGAACGTATATACCCTTCTTCACTCTCTTTTCCCTTCCAATTGAAGATGACTATTTTAAAACAAGCATTTCCTATCCTTGTGGACATTTTATTCATATTTTTGCATCATAAGTATAAGTTGCAACTCTATAAAATAGCATGTTTATTTTTATTTCCACCTATGTATCAGCACTCATAGTATAAACTGACGGTACAAATATTTCATTTAAGTTACTACAATATATGAAAATATGTCATAGAATTAGCAGCTTAATTAGCAATTAGAGCTAATTAGCATTAATATTCAAATGAAACTTAATTATCCATAAATGTGTTCAAATACTCAATTACAAATGTTAATGATAGTAATGAAATTAATTGACCACAAAATACCTTTCTTGTGTGAAACTCGATTCTCTGAATCTCATAAAATAAATTTATATCAAATGCCAAATGGCGAATGAACATGATACATAGAATAATTCTTTAGTATTCAGAATTATTGATTTTACAAATTGCTTAAAACTTTCAGATTTCTGTAACTTGTCTTTATTAAAAGCATTCATAGGAGTACATCTATCAAAAATCACCTTTTCTCTTCCAAATATGGCTCATTGCACAGCTAGAGCAGTTATTGCTTCTGTAAATCCCACATTCGGGCCCCGTTTCTCATTGATGTAAGGTTGAGAAAGGCCTTAGCTTATCTAATTAAGGTCATGGTCTGTTTTTTCTTTGGGTAACTAAAATTCTGACAAACGATATTTTTTTAGAACAAACTATAGTCTTACAATATAATTATAAGAAAAAAGTGGCCAAATTCATATCCAGTTCAGAAAACTCTCTTAACATGAAGGCTTTTATCATCTTAACAAGGACATTAGAAGAACTTCTAATGTCTTCTCTCAGATGGAAATTCCAGCTTTTTGATGCTGTTACCAAAGAATGTCTCTGCCTGTCCAATATATACTGTATCAAGACATTGCTGCCAGATAGATGGACCATTAGATTCAGTATAAAACAGCTTTATAATCTCATGACAATGTATTTTGAAATTACATTATATTCTATGTTACTGTCTACCCAAGCAGAAAGCTACAACAGGAAAACTTCTTCTTTGGCATATAAACAAATAAATTACATACCTGTATAGATCAAAGTGTGGTTTCTCCCACATGCAGCTAGTTTCACTTTTTCAGGTTTTAGAACTATGGATTGACACAAAAGGTTGTTATTATTATTGTTGTTTTAATAATTATAAAATCAATTGTTGTCAAATCTGCTAAGTGTTCAAGTTTATAGGAAATTAATTTTCCAATCATTATCTATCCCAGCATTTTACAGCACATCTTGAGTAAGCTGGATTTTCTATTGAAGTTAGGTCTGAATCATAAAAATAATTTAGTAAAACTGCAATCCTCTAAATATTTATCTGAAAATTACTGAATACAGCACAACCTTTTTCTCCATAAATACACAGAAGAATTCCTAAAAATAATACTGAATAGGGAGACGTCAAGTCTTAATGTTGTATCTACAAATATTTGTCATGTTGGAAACTAGAAAGATCAGATCTATTCTAATACCTGACACATAAATTAAAGACAAACCTTTCACACAAGTTGGCTTGCTGACAGTATTCTTTGTTCCAAGTCCTAGTTGTCCCCAGTTGTTGCTTCCAAACATGTATAGTTTACCATTTTCTGCAGAATACAGACATTAAAGAAAATAAGTGATTGCCAATGCATGTGTTAAAATATATCCAATATTTTCAAATTAGTTAGACACAACTATAGAAAGAGACATAATAATCATGTAATAAAGACCAAGTCTGCAAAATGTTATATATATATATATCACTATCAAAGGCTGTACTTTTAAATAAACATCTTTTTCTATTTCTATGCACTGTATACATTTAATTATTTTTGGTCTTAGAATACAAATATTAATTAGCAAATATACAATCATAGAAAAATAAATGTTTATAGAATAAGTGATGAGCAATCATTCTGAACATATGTAATCAATTCGTATTTTTAAAAAATGTATAGAGTAATATTCAGGGAATTCTGAATATTTTATTCTGAATTTTGAATATTTTAATACTTCAGTATTTTTTTCTTTTTCTAAGCAGAATTTAGCAATAGTATCCAACTTGCTATACAATTTTCTCTGTAATTGCGCTATGCATCACATATTAATTTATGCTATTACCTGACATAGCATATTTCAAAATAAATTCAGATCATATTACAATGAAATGCTATTTATTTTCAAATAAACAAACTGTGCAAGATAGACATACTTAAAATGAAAGATATCGACTTCCGGTGGTGACAGCTGGCATCGCATGGCGGCTTTTTTAGCCGCCCGTCCGGGAGCGCGGCAAAGCCTGAAGAGACAGCGTCTGTCAGCTGTCTCTCGGCTAGGAACCTCGTCCCTCGGGCAAAGAGGGAGAGGTGAGTGAGTCCGGATAGGGTTAGAGCTTCCTTTCGCCCTGGTTTTGCCTTAATCCAGGGTGAAAGATGCTAGCTCGCCCGGAGTCTGGACACTCTCCGCGCCCCGAGACGCCTTCGCTCCTTGCTTGTGGAGCGAAGCCAGATGCAGCTCCCACCTCTGCGATTGAAGGTATTTGATTTAAAATTATAAGCAGACAGAACTGAACAGGAGGCTGGAATTGTAATGGATTTATTGGGACTTTAACTTTGAAAATTA